TTAAATGTTGGATTTACTTAATTGATGCTTGAGAGGGCTAGGTTGAGTGTAGAACTTGGGTGAAATTGTGTAAGAACTTGATATTTGCATGTTGAATGGATGGTTTTGCTAGTAAGATAGAGATATACTTGCTAGCCTTGCATAGCCACATTAGGGTTAGTGTTTAAAATTGAGTTTTATTAATTGTAACAAGAAATTAAACAATTAATTTAACTAAACACTTGTTCATGACTTGAGAGAGCTTGTCCAAGTATTTTTATAATCCTAGGTTAGCACTTATTTTCATTAAAAGCATTTATGAGAGGAGGTGATTTTGGTATTATGAAATGTAAGGGGGATAAATAATCCTAAGTCATAATTTGTGGTTGAAATTTGTGAATAAATTATTTTTCTTTATTTCCTAGTATTAATTTAGTTTGCAAAATCATGTTCACCTAATTATGTTTGGCTCAACTTAATTGAATTCACTTAGTCTTTTATTTGATTATTATTTTTAAACAAATCCTCAAGGAAATGATACTTTACTTTTATTATATTACTTGCTAAGATCCGTACACTTGTGGTGAACAACAGTGTATGTGTGTTTTTAAAAAATCTTAATCGTCATACTTGCAAAGTATTATTGACTTATGCAGTAATATGATTATTCTAAATATCTGTGAAGCTTCTAAAATCTCAATGATAAAAGAATTTAGCAACTTAATTTATTTATATTTTTAAATATTAGTAATAATTATTTAAGCATGCACATATATGTTTTTTAAAAAAATTTTAATCATCATACCTGTAAAATCTTATTAACTTATATGATAATATAATTATCCTAAATATCTATAGAGATTCTAAAATCTCACACGATAAAAGATTAAATAATATACACTTAAGTACCTTTTTAATTTAATTGATTTAATGTATAATTTATATATACTTTTTAAAAATTTAATCATTATATCTGTAGAGTCTTATTGACTCATACGATAACACGATTATCTTAAAAGTCTACGGAAATTTAAAAATCTCACATGACTAAAAGATTTAATGGTTATTATTTAAATTCATTAATCTAATTAATTAATTTTTTACAAAAAAATGTTTATTATTTTATTTACAAAATTTATTTATTTACTATTATGTAAATTGAGAATTGTGATATCTACACGGATTTATTATCCCACATAATAATGCACTTAACTTAATTCTCTGTAAAGATTTTTAAAATCTGACATGAAACTTAAATATTTTATTGATCATAAAAAGAGCGTTAATTTTAATGGTGGGCTATTATAACCCATTTTTAATATATAAAATCAATCTTCATACTTGTAAAATCTTATTGATTTACACAATATAAAATCACACTAAATGCCTGTAAAGATTCTTAAAATCTCACATGACAAATAGATAATTGAAATATTTATATTTGCAATTGGTGCATAATATTATGAGTGGCTAAAGAATTTATGCAATAAAGGAAATGGAAAGAACAGAGAAATAAACTATTTTGATAATTCACTATTTTTTTGACTTAGGATATATTCCCAAAAAAAATCAAATTTGGCATAAACTTTTAGCAAGATCATAACCATGATAGACATGGCTCTAAATCACAATCAACCCCATAAATTATCAACAATATTCTCACAGGCTCTTTTTTTTATTTCATCAAACACCTCTTAGGTATGTTCTAAATTCTGCATAAAAAATTTGATTCCTAAATTTTTAATGGCTAAACATACACCTGGATCAGTCCACACTCTTAATATCTATCAATATATATATGTTCATCAATGAATCTAGATCAAGGGAGATGACATGATTTAAATATTACCTGATTTAACTACCAATGACCACGTCCTCGAGTTGCAGAGCCTATGATTCTAGATATGCATTCTTCTTTCTCTCAAGACAACACTTTCATCACCTTAACCTCTTACTCATCACATGATTACTTGCAGGAAAGCTGATTTAATTACCAATGACCACGTCCTTGAGTTGCAGGAGCCTATGATTCTAGATATGCATTCTTATTCCCCTCAAGACAACGCTTTCATCACCTTAACCTCTTACTCATCACATGATTACTTGCAGGAAAGCTGATTTAACTAACAATGACCATGTTCTTAAGTTGTAGCAGCCTGTGATTCTAGATATGCATTCTTCTTCCTCTCAAGATAATGCTTTCTTCACCTCTGTCTCTCTCTCCTTTGTTAGATCCTCCTCTTTATTCTCTCTCTCCTCCTCCATTTTCCTCTCATCTGTGCTCTCTTCTTCCTCTTTTTATGCTCTCTTACTCTCGGTCTCTCTCATTTGCTTTTTCCTTTAATGTGCTCAACTCCCTCTTCTCTCATCTATCATAGTCCGACTATGACCAGAGAGAGAGATAGGAGTTTTGTGCAACGATGAACGAACTCGGGCTAAGAGGAAATGAGGCAAATGAATTCAGGTGGCTATGGTAAATTCTTTACCGAACTCGTGTGACTGAGGAGAAGAAGAAGATGATCTCGTTCAGTCCAAAAACCTACATGCGCATGCTGTTATTATTTCTACGTTTTCTTTTTTACTCTCAACATGCCATCAATCCCTTCATTCTTTTGTTCCAGTTGCTCCTCTTCACTCTCCATCTCTATGCTCCATTTTTCTGCAATGTACATCTCTCACTCTTCCCCTCTATTTCTCTCGCCTCTGTTCTCTCTTTCTCCAGATTGCTTTCCATCTCTCTTACTTAAAGCTTCTCCTAGATTCAGCCTTCTTCTTTTTTTTAGTCTTTCTCACTCTCCCTTATATTGAAGACCAAAAGAAAGAAAAAGAAAGCAAATTACCTTGCGTGTGAGATTTGAATGCGTGTGGCCAAAAGTCTGCTCTACTCTTTTCTACGTGTGTTTCCTTCTTCTCGTCCGATCTTTTCTGCGTATGGCGTTCTTTTGTATTTCTTTTGTTGTGTAGCTGAAGCTTTGGCTCTGCCTTTGTATCTTCTCCTTCTGCTCTTTGCTTCTGGCTTTTCATGTGTGTATGCGTCTTCTTCGTTGGCATTTCCTTTCTACCCACCAAAAGCATTTGTGTGTGCATCTCTGTTTCTCTACCCATCTCTGTGCACGCCTCTAATCTTCTTGCCATAAAAGGCAATTTAGGGATGGGTGATTCATCATTTCACCCGCCCCTTTTGTTTTTATTATTGTTTTTTTTTTTTAATCAAATTAAAGAGAGAAAGAGATCTGATTTTAAAATATACATTTATTTTTTTAATGAAAAACAATAAGATTCAAAAAGTTAACTCTCAAAAGTTAATTTCCAATATTTTTGAATGGTGTTGAATAATTTGGGAGGAATTTTTCAAGATTTAAGCATGATTTTTTTTTAAAATATATCCTAAAAGGGATTAAATTTGTTTTTGAATTTTTGTATTTTTTGGTTGTTTTAATAAAATAAAATCTTAACCACAAAAAGATTATATAAGTTTAAAATAAAATTAAACCCTATTAACTAAAGATCTTCTTTTTTTGTTTTGAAAATATAATCCTGAAAAGGATTAAATTTTATTTTTATATTTTTAAATATTTTTGGTTATTTATTATTATTTTTATTAAATTTAAAAAAAAATGTCTAGACAAAATACAGTGTTCACATCTACATTTTCCAACAGTTGTAGTAGTTTAGTGGCATTGAAGTGCTTATTGGAAGACTACATGTCTCCACAAAATGTGATCTGCCACTTGAAACTCATTCTACAATTTCCTATTCCACAATGATCCAAAGAAAATCATTCTGGTTTCTAATCAAGATAAATAACAAGTGCCGAGAGAAAAAATTACAAAATAAAAGAAAGGCCTTCTCTAAACATGGAAGACTATCAATATATGCACATGACATGTCATTTTTTATGGTCATTATTGTCAAAATTATCCTTTCACTTTGTTGAGCTATTTTCTATGTTTACAATCTGAAAATAATCACACTCTCTTCATTGGCCTAGGTGCAATAAGGATTTCATTGTTTTAATAGTGCTTCCCCGTAAAATAAAATCCTAAAGCTAAACACATTTTTGACTCTACCAAACACATTTTCAACTATATTAGGCCATCAAACAAACAGCTCCTTTTCAAAATCCAAAACCCATAAATGACTCAAAAGTGAAATATGATATTAACATGTTTATGTTGTCTAACAAATGGCATCAATTAAAAGCAGAATTATAAATAGAAATGTTAAAGGCAAATTTTTAGAGCACTTTGTAAACAGAATGGTATGAGAATCATCCAAATGACAGAGTGAGAAAATAGAGCCACAAGAAAAAATTATCATTGAGGGACAAAAATGATGTTCCCTGACTATGGAAGCCATCAACTTGAAGCAAAAACCAATATGACCCCTACAGTAAAACAAAAA